GCGTTTAAACCCAGAGCCTTGTGCGCTGAGCTCCACCCCCAGCACCTCTGCCCCCAAGTCCAGAGTAACGACCTGTATGTACCCAGCCAAGCAGAGCTCAGTGCAGAAGCAACAGATGCACAAAGCATACCAGGTGGCCATAAAGAAAACAGGAGATCTGTTTGGAGGGATCAGAATTGGCCTCCCAGTTGAACTGTTCGGAGGAAACGGTAAGTGGTAGAACAGAGTAAACGGTCCAACTAGCAACAACACACTTGCGCCTGCGTAGATACAGGAAATCTCCCCAAGGAGACAAGGAGCTGATCACAGCTCCTCTGAGGAGGAACTCTGGGGTCCCAGAGATCAGGGTGGATGATATACTCATGGGTCACACAAACAAGCAAGCTTTGTTTTTAAATCAAGGGCTGGGGATGTAGCTCAGTGGAAGAGCTCTTGCTAGCAAGTGTGAGGCCCTGGGTTCCAACCCCAGCACTGCAAAAAATTAAAAATAATAAAATTCAAATTAAAATGAGAACATCTGATCATCTCAAAATAGAAAGTAAAATTTAAAAGATAATAAACTGTCCAACAGGGAGCCCTTTGGGACAAGCCCATAAAACACCAGCTGAGCCCAAGGCCACAGGCTTCCCAAGGGTGGGGACCCCTCCCTACAGCCCCTGCAGTTACCTCTGACCCCAGGCCGTACTGCTTGGTGTAGACAAACATGGCCAGGTCGTCAAAGAGTCTCAAGACGGTCCTGCAGTGGCTGAGCTGGGCCGACACCACCAGCAGGCGTGTGCCCACTTCGGACCTGGCAGGACACTGTTCAACCAGGACCCCGCCAACCAGCTGGCAGCAGTACCCCAGAGTTCGGATCTGTGGGAAACCAGAAGCAATCAACATGGCACTGCTCCTGAGCTGCACTGGACCAACCGGCCGGGCCCCCGGCCCTGCAGGACTGAAGGCGCAAAAGTCAAAACCAACAAGCATCCAACAAAAGCTCAGTCCGAAAGCAGGACAAATGGAAAAGCAGGACAAATGGAAAAACACCAGACAATGGTCTAAAAGGAGAGTCTAACAAGAGTCCTGGCTCATGTCACTGAGGGGCACAGCCTTTGGGGACAGTGGTAATGGGGACAAAGAAAAGAAAACTGCTTCCCACCTCCTTGGTCCTCCTTTCCCAGCAGGCCAGAGGAGGGTGAGGTTGGAATGTACATTTGCATCTCCCTGGCTGGGCAAAGCCCTTAGCTGGGCCGCAAGCTGGGAGCAAGTAACCTGTCTCAACCCAGTGAACAGGATAGTAATTTGTTTGAATTACTTTAGTGACAAAGGGCCCACTCAATAAGTGATTTGGAGGATCACAAGAGCGATCAGGTTCACCACCCGTATGTCTTTCATTATTTCACCTGCTTCTCAGAAATTGCTAGTTCCTGTTGTTTTACATATTACTTTACCTGTAATTCCTTTTGAGCCCAGGTGTAATGGCAAAACACTGCCATTTAAGTGTCCAACTTAGGAGGTATTAAAACCTGACCATTCACCCATAGGGGACTTGGTTGGAACCTATCTGCCTCGCCACCCTGTTCAACCTAAATGCTACCTAGGAGGGACTGGCCAAGACAAGCTAAGAGTCCAACCTAAGGGACTTGGATGGAAAAACCTTAATGCTCAATTAGAAGAGATTTAGTTGGAACCCAAAAATCCAGACATAGGGGGAGTCCTGAATCATTCTAAATGCTGAGATCATTCACAGCAACCTAAGAAGCAACTACAATGACCTAGTCAGATACTCATATCCAAAGGTAGGAATCTGCTTGGTTAGTAAATGTCCAGTCAGGATGGGTTGGCAGGGACAATCTAAATGATCAAACTACAGGGGACTTGAATGAAACCCACAATGGCTAGGTTACAGTAGGGGCCTGGCCATTGTGGGCTCCCTGGTACCAAGTTGGCTGAAACAACCTAAATGCTCAACTTGAGGGGATGTGGTCAGAACCTAAATGTCCAGCCACGGGGGAAGCCCTGCAACATCCTAAATCCCCAGAAGAAAAACTGTTCAGGACAACCCAGGAACTAACTTCAGTGGCCTGATCAGATCCCAAGGGCTCACACGAGGGAACTGAGGCAGTGGTTTGGCAGGAACAACCTGTATGTCCACCCTTAGGGGGCGTGGTTTGAGTCTAGATCAGGCAGGGCCTTTGCAGTGAGCGATCCTGAGCGACCCTGTCCCCTCTCTGGCCTCAGTTGCCCCATCTCTGAACTTCGACGGAACTCGTGGCCTCCGGCCCCGCTCGGCCCCAGCCTCACCAGGCGGTCGCGGCCCCGGTAAGACTCCAGCGCCGACGCCAGACCGTTCAGCGCCGCCATGGCAACTCCGCCGTGACGTCAGCGCGCCGTCAGCGCGCCGCGCCAGGGGGCGGGGCTAGACCGCGTCCCAGGAGCTTCCGAGTGGCCCGCGAGCACGCTGCGCAGGCGCGGCCGCTGCCCTTTGTCCCTGAACTGGACTTTTGTCTGTTCCACCAGACTTTGCAAAAGTTTGGCGGCAACGTGTGTGCGGCCCGGGCCTGTGACCGGATGAGCCAGCTGGCCGTCATTTGCCCCATGGCGGCCTGATCAGCTGCCCACACACAGGGCATTTCAAAATTGTGTGCAGTAACCATGGATTAGCTCGCCCAAAATTTCTCAAAAAAGTGAACACCCATTTCCTTTTTTTTCTCCCCCTTTCTTTGAGGTGGAGTTCACATAACGTAAAGGCCACCATTTTAAAATGTATAATCCAGTGCCACTTAATACATTCACAGGTTGTGCCCCCACCTGCCCTCACTGGTTTCAAAGTATTTTCATCAGTCCCAAAGGAGACCTTCAGAGGAGACCAGAACATGCCACCACAAAATATGCCGCCTTGGCATGAGGAGTCCTTTGAGCTAAAGGCAAAAGCACACAGGAAAACTCTCTGCCCTCCCACTATTTTCCTAAAAGGAAGATAAGTTTACAAAGGTGTCCTCCCACTTACCAGGAGGGACAAGTGTCCATCACTACAGACATCTCTGGGTCCTTGTGCACCAGAGGAATCTATTTAACAAACTTTGCTAACCGTCCTTTAGCTGCCATTTATCTTTCTATCCATAATTTGCCACCACGAGAGACTCAAGTCCTTCTCCCTTGTCTTGTCACTTCTCTAAAAATTCACTGTTCCTGGTTGATGATGCCTTATAAATAAATCGGAGTTCCTACCCACCTCTTGAGAATGACAGTTTTCTGGGTGTCGCCCATGTATACCTGAGATACCCGTGTTAAGGTTTGCTTCTCTCCAGTTGATTCTTTTGTTACAGGGTCCATCTCAGCTTAGAACTGAGGGTGGAAGGAAAATTATTCTTGCTCAACACCGTGGTCCTATTAAGCAGTCATGCGTAATAGTCCCTGGTCCTGGTGACCACTAGTCTGCTTTTTCTATACATATTACCTATTCTTGATATTTCATATAAGTGGAATCAGACAATATGTGACTGCTATGGTTTGGAGAGGTGTCCCCAAAGGCTTATGTGTTGAGGGCTTAGTCACTAGCCTGTGGCATTATTGGGAGGTGATGGAAACTTTAAGGGGTGGGGCCTAAATTAGGTCACTGAGGGCATGCTCTGGGAAGGGACATTGGAACCCTCCCATTCCTCTCACTCTTTCTGCTTCCCAGCCACCCTGAGGTGAACAGTCCTCCTCTGCCACATGCTCCCACCATGACATTGCTGTGTCACCCAGAGCAATGGGGTCAAACAACCATGAACTGAAACCCCTGAAACCGTAAGCCAAAAGAAACCTTTCCTCTTTACAAGTTGACTCAAGTATCTTGTTACAGTCGTGGCAAGCTGCCCAACACGATGACCATTTGTGTACTGCTTCTTTCACGGAGTGTAACATTTTCAAAGTTCACCGACACTGTAGCATGGTCCAGAGTTTCACTCTTTTATGTGGCTGAATAATATTCCACTGGATGGTTATACCGCATTTTGCTTCTCCATCCATCATTGATGAACATTTGGGCTGTTTCCACCTTTTGGTTATTATGAACAGAGCTGCTGTGAACATTCATGCCATGTACTTGCTTGACTACTTTCTTTCAGTTCCTCCGGGTATTTATCTAGGAGTGGAATTGCTGTGTGTATGTGAGGTGCTGGGAGGGAACCCAGGAGATCTTTACCCCTGGGTTTTTTTGTTTGTTTGTTTTGTTTTGTTTTTGTTTTGAGACAGGTTCTAAGTTTCTGAGGGCCTTGCTAAGATGCTGAGGCTGGCCTCAAACTTGCAGTTCTCCTGCCTCAGCCTCCTGGGATGACAGGCATAACTTTCTAAAGAACCACCCAACTGTCTTCCACACGGAGTGCACCATCTCAGAACTTCACCCGCTACCCTAAGGACACGTATGACTGCACATTCTTGCCGCAGGACTTTGCCCTGCTGTTCCCTTTGCCCAGACACCTGCGTGGCTCCCATGCTACCCTCCTCTGAATGTCCCCTGAATATCATTTTCTCAGGAGAGCTGCCTGATCACACCCTCGGGGACACTGCCTGCGGTTTCATCCTCCTCAGCCTTTAGCATTATCGAATTGATCATCTGCATCACAGAAGAGGGGTCTTTTTTAAGCTTTGAGGTTCAGGGCAAGGCACTGGCTCTGTTCTCAGTGACATCACATCCTGGCGGTGGTCTTGGCTGGAGGCCAGAGGATGGGAGGCGCCAGGCTTGCTCCTTTCAAGACAACTCTCTCCGGAGAACGACCAAGAAATCCCACAAGAACTCCCTTCAGAGGACATGCCCAAGGACCCAAGGGTCCCCCAAGCCCCACCTGCCAAAGGTCCCAGCAGCCCCCAATAGCGCTGCACTGCCCGCCGAGCCTGCAATAAGGTGGACCCTTACAGGACGCACAAGCAGCTCCCAAAGCACAGCAGCCATGGGTGAGGCCCTGGGTTTCATCCTCAGCTCTCCATATAAATGAAGATTCATTGACAACTAAAAAAATTTTTTTAAATTTTTTTTAAAAACAAACTACGTGTTTCGTTTATTCTTCTAGTTGCCTATCTCTCCTCAACAGATTGTGAACTCCACCAGGGCAAAGATGTTGGTCTGTCCTGGAACAAAGTGGTTCTCCGTAAGTGGGATTGCTTGCAGGGCTCAGCTCCTGTCCAGGGCTCTCTTCTCACCCTCCATATGGTCCTGGGAGAACTTGTCCACTCCCAGGTACAGGGCATTTGGTTGGAACTCGCCACAGCTAGAGCCGGGAGGGGATTGCAACAAGTAAATGTCCAGTTAGAAGCATTTTGGCCATAATCTAAACATCCATCCGTAGGACAGCATCCTGAACCCTTATGTGACATCATTCAGCACAACCCAGGAACTAACCTCGGTGGCATGACCAGAACCTAAATGGTCAAACTGGAGATTCGGTTGGTATGGGAAGGTCCAGCCTGATCCAGTCCCCAGTACTCTTCCAAAAGACAAGATCCCTGGCTGGGCGCCGTGGTGCACACCTGTCATCCCAGCAGCTTGGGAGGCTGAGGCAGGAGAACCTCAAGTTCAAAGCCAGCCTCAGCAAAAGCGAGGCGCTAAGCAGCTCAGTGAGACCCCGTCTTTAAATAAAATACAAAAGAGGGCTGGGGATGTGGCTTGGTGATCAAATGCCCCTGCATTCAAATGCCCCTGCATTCAATCCCTGGTACCCCTGCCCAAAAGAAAAGATCCCCGGAACCCATCTATTTCTTCCTGGCCCACAGCCCCCTCCTTCAGCAGTCCCTGTTCTTGCTCACCTAAGACCCTGACTTCCCCATAACAGCCCAAGCAGTGCACCAGGCCTGGTTTATGCTTGACAAGCTCCACCATGGAGCTACACCCCGCCCAGCCCCACAAGAAAATTTTAACTCCACATCCAACCAGTGCCCGTCCCTAGTAAGACTTGAGTGCAGGGGGGGGGGGGGTCTGTGTGCATCATCCTCCTGTAATTGGGGTCACTGTTTCTGCAGCAGAAAAAGATCCAAGCCAAGATGGAAGCGTGCAGAAGAAAGGAGGCCTCTAGTTTCTGCTGATGCATAGTTGGGGGATCCTTTCTCTCAAGCCCGTGCAGTCCCCCACGACTTTGTGATACCACAGTGCCTTTCTCCGGGCAGCTGCTGGGTACCAGGCCCTGTTCCAGGCACCTGAGACACATCAGTGAGCTTTGCAGGCACTACCCAGCCTTCCCAGCACCCGCCATCTGGTTAGAGCTGAACTTGACCTTGGAGAAAGAGACTCAAGCTGGCCTGGCCTTCACAGCTGGCCTTGGTGTTGCTAGGCACTAGTCTGGCAGTCACAGCTGGGCCCCGGCCAACATCCTCCTGCTCAACATAAACAATCCCATGGAATGCCAGCATCAGACAAGGCCACTCTGTGACCCTGGGAGGGCAAGACAAAACAAGCCCGCTCGGCGAACACATCGAAACCCAGGCAGAACGTGGGTGAAGGACCCCCTCCCCCTAAGGAGAACCTTGATAACCCTTCACCCGTCGCAGATTTAGTCTTGCTGCATTCCTCCAACTTCTTCCTGAAAACGATTAAGATACGCAGTAACAGAATGACCTCAATCCCGGCTTCCTGTGAGCTCCCGATCTGCCTCCCAGACCCTCCTTTTCCCAGCAGGCAGCAGGACTAGGCTGAAGTATGAATTGCAGCCGCCTGGCTGGACCAAAGCCAGGAGCTGGCAGCAGGTGCTCAGACCTCAACCCAGGGGGCGAAATGATGATTAGCCTGAATTCAGTGAGAAGGAGCCATCGCGAACTGGGTCAGCTTCGCCACTCTGACATCGTTATTTGGTTTTGGTTTTGATGCTTTTAATTTCTCAGTCAACTGGGCACGATGGTGCACGCCTGTAATCCTGGCAGCTCAGGAGACTGAGGCGGGAGGATCGCGAGTTCAAAGCCAGCCTCAGCAAGACCCTAAACTACTCAAGTAGACCTGTCTCTAAGTAAAGTATTAAAAGCGCTGGGGATGTGGCTTAGTGATTGAGCACCCCCGTGTTCAATCCCCAGTACCCCCAAAAAAAATTTTCAATTAGTTTTACTGAAGTACAATTTATACACAATAAAATTCACCTTTTTTTCTTTTGGGAGTATTAGGGATTGAACTCAGGGGGCACTTGACCACTGAGTCACATCCCCAGCCCTATTTTGTATTTTAATTAGAGACAGGGTCTCACTGAGTTGCTTAGCACCTTGCTTTTGCTGAGGCTGGCTTTGAACTTGCAATCCCCTCCTGACTCAGCCTCCCAAGCAGCTGGGATTATAGGCGTGCGCCACCGCGCCTGGCTAAAATTCACCATTTTAAGTATACAGCTTAATGAGTTTCAGCAAGTGTATACAGTTACATAATCCACCATGACAGTCAAAATACAGAACATTTCTATCATTTCCCAAATCTCTCTTGCCTCTCTTGTGTGTTTTCTCCCTCAGCCCTGGGGACTGAACCCAGGAGTACTTACCACTGAACTACATCCACAGTCCTTCTTTTTTTTTTTTGAGTCAGGTTCTCACTAAGTTGCTGAGGCTGGCCTCAAACTTGCAACTCTCCTGCCTCAGCCTCCCCAGCCAATGGGATGACAGGCATGCACCACTGCTCCTGGCCTCCCCCTCCCTTTTTAAAAATATTTTCTAGTTGTCAATGGACCTTTATTTTTATATGCGGTGCTGAGAATTAAACCCAGTGCCTCACACATGCTAGGCAAGCCCTCTACCACTGAGCCACACCCCTAGCCCCTGTATTTTTATTTTAATTTAAAAAAAATTTTTTTTAGTTGTTGATGGACCTTTATTTTATGTATTTGTATGTGGTGCTGAGAATTGAACCCAGTGCCTCACACATGCTAGGCAAGTGCTCTACCATGGAGCCACAACCCCATTATATTTTTGAAATTCACTAATTTTTAAAAACAATTTTAGATATAGGGTTTCATTACATTACCCAGGCAGGCCTTGAACTCCGGGTTCAAATGATCCTCCTGCTTCAGCCCCCTTAGTGCTGGGATACAGGCACGCACAGTGGGTTTGGTACACTGTATGTTCACAGGAACACAGCACGGTGTTTTGATACATGTGCATGCTGGGCAATGACCTCCTCAAGCTAATTAACATAGGCATTATCTCACACAGTTTTTGTGGTGAGAACATTTAAAATCTACTCTCTGGCTGGGGGCATAGCTCAGTGGAAGGGTATTTGCCTAGCACGGGGGAAGCCCTAGGTGGATTCCCCAGCACAGCAACTTTCAACTATACAGCATAATATTGTTATGCTGTTGTATTATATATTATTTTTATTTGTCTGATCATCTCAAAAAAAAAAAAGTAAAATTTCCAACCACTGGGTATGGGGTGAGGCCCTGGGTTCCATCCCCAGCAGTGTTAAAAAAAGAAAAAAGAAAAAAAAATCCAACGAACAAATGCATCCAGCACAGAACCAAGTTCAGGGTCCTTCAACTCTCCCCCCGACCACCTCACTGGGCCCAAATCCTCCTCAGTGTGTTCTAACTCTCAGGCACCCCTGGGACCACTAATAAGCCTGAGTCAAGTCAACCTGGAGCGTGCGCCTGAACCCTTTGGCTGGTGGGGCAAACTGACCCCATAAGAGTGCGCCTCGCAGGTCTGTGAGCCCTGGGATGATGTTAATGGATGCAGAAACGGCGGGGAGGGGGGAGAGGGGCCACCAGGAGGAGGCGAGGAACTGCTCCCGGTAGCCTATGGTGACCAATACTCACTGGTCATTACCATGCAGTCCCATTTTCCAGATGACAAAAATGAGCCTCCAAGAAGTCATGTCTAAAAGCCTCAGGAAGCAGGGTTGAGAGCCAGGTCCCCCCGCCTGCCTCCAGGGATGCCAGAGGACCATTGTGACAGAATCGTCAGGGGAAGCTCTTGGTCACAATACGCTGAGCCGGACCACACTTGGATGGAGCCCTTGGAAGGACCACATGAGTGTCCTCTGGAAGAGCTGGGACGGAAGGAGTCCAAGAGTCCCACCTGTTGCCAAGTGCAGGATTCCTTAGCTCCCGTGTCATCTCTTGAGGTAGGTCTCTGTCCTTGTCCCTGACCCTAAGTGGAAGGATACTCAAAACTACCTGGCCAGCAATCCTAGTTGTCAGACTCCCATAAACTATTTTAGAAAGACAAGAAAGCCCCAAGTGGCTGAGTGGAGGGGCTGCGAGTCTGAAGTTGAAGGTCGGAGAAGGAAGGGAAGGGGAAGGTTCTGACCCTCAGGCAGCCAGGAGACAGGAGGAGGCCGAGGGGAATGGGTAGGGCCCTGACGGCTGCAGACACAGAAGGAGCACGTGCTGCTTCAACAAGACAGTCGCAGGGGCTGCAGGGCTGGGGTCGAGCAGGACGAGAGTGGGCCCAGGTGGGAAGGAAAGGAGCCATGGGTGAGGATGAGAAGAGGGGTTCCTGTGTGAGACACACATGGAATACAGTGGTTGACATTGGGTTCTAGAATCAGAATGAGCCCTGGTTTCAAATCCTAGGCAAATGGCCACCTCCCTGAGTCTCAATGTCATATACAAAGCAAAGGCTAAAACCCACCTCACAGGGTCCAGCGTATTAAAATGGGTGCAAAGTGAAAATTCCATACATACTAGCTGTGGATGGACATTTTCCCCCATAATAGTGACCCCTCTGTTCTAAACCCTACTACCATCACCCCAACTTCATACTGAGAAAATGAGGTTCTCACCAGGGTCTTGCAGGACCTGGGGCCCATTCCTCTCCCATCTCATTGGCTATGGTGTTTTCATTCACTTACCTTACGTGTCTCTGGGCTTTTGCACTTTCTGTTCCCTCTGCCTGGGATGCTGTTCCCCCTAGATACTCAAGTTTCTCCTTTCCAGCTTTGTCAGATAGTTAACCAGCAGTCATCTCGGGGATATGATCCCTGCTTAAAGCTGCAACCCTGGACTGGGGTGTAGCTCAGTGTAGAGGGTTTGTCTAGTACCAGGGAGGCCTGGTTCCATGTCCGGCACCACAAAAACAAAACGAAACACCTGTAACCCACCGAACCCCTGCATGACTTTTCCCCCCACCACATTACCACCAAACGTACACTGCAACTGATGTTATTATATTTATTTACAATTGTACGTCACTCCCTGCTTCATTGTCAACTACATACAGATTCTTGATCTGGATAGTTAACTGATGTACCTGCCCCTCCCCGGGCCTAGAACAGTGCCTGGCACATGGCAGGCACCAACCGAAAGATCATCCCTCCACTTTCCCTGGGGGCAGGCACAGCTGGGCCTGTATTCTGGTGTCCGCCACCCCCCACCCACCCCCAGCGCAGTGCTTGGTGTCAGGAAAGGAGTCAAAGGCAGCATTGTCCTCCGTGTCCACTGGCTCAGTCTCGTGTCTTTGCCCCCTCGCATGTGGCACAATGTCCGGTGCTAGCAGCGAGCGCCCTCCTGCCGTGCCCGATGTCCCAACTGGACTTCCTCAAGGCCTCGCACTTCGCACTGGGGCCGGACTCCCGGCTGCACCGGGGCGCCATGCAGTCCACGATGCACCGGGACTTCCCGGCCCACCCGAGCCCCACCCCGAAGCAGCCGAGGGCGCCGCCTCCACTCTCGGTGCTCTTCCAACACAACGCGAGCCGGGCGGGACCGGAGCAGGTGTCGGAGATGCACCGCGAGTTCACGCCACGGGACGTGAAGCCCCCGGAGGAGACGCGGGAGCGCACGCTCGCCATGCAGTCCAGCAACCTGCGCATGCACGCGGACGAGCGCACCGGCGTCGGCTTCTCCAACGCGCGCGCCGCCTACGGCTGGCCCGAGCAGCCCGCGCACCCCCGCGAGCTGATACGCGGCGCGCGCCTCATCTTCGACCGCGACTCGCTGCCGCAGGGAGACCGAGACCAGCTGCGCGTCCCGCCCACCACGCATCAGGAGCTCTACCCGCCTCAGGACGTGTGCCCGCCGCCGCGCGCGCCTTGCTACCACCTCGGTGAGCGCGTGCCGGGGCCCCCTGAGCGATTTGAGGGAACACTTGGCCATGTCTGGAAACATGGTTGGTTGTCACCCCTGAGGCTGAGCGTGCCGCTGGCAGGCAGCGGGTAGAAGCCACGGAAGCGGCTAAGCATCCCACCGTGTGCAGAGCAGACCGCCTGCGAAAAGGGTCAGTAGTACCACGGTCAGTAGTACCAGGCTCCGAAAACCTGCAATCTCCCGGAGCCTCGGTTTCTGCCTCCGTGGAGTGGATTCTCTCCAGAGAGAAGTCCCCAATGCTAGTTTGAGGTCAGGCAAATCTGCTGAGTTGCCTACCTAACCCCCAGCCTTACGGCCTTAGTAACTAGGAGCAAATTGGCCTCTCCAAGCTTCACTTTTCTCATCTGCAAAATGGGTATGATCACAGGGTCCAACCTCACAGGAGCTGGTGAAGCTGAAGGAGCCCAGGCTGCACGGGGTACCTGGCAGGTAGAACAATATTAGCCACCATCTGTGTGATTTTCCAATTCTGTCACTCCAGGGGTCCTTCCTGTGGACATCAGGAATCACAGTCCCTCCAAGCTGGACTCGGGGATTGTCAGACTTGAATTTGACTCTTAGTTCTGGCCCCTAATTTTTGTGACTTCAAGTAAGTTCCTTGCCACTCTGAACTTCAGGCAGGCTGCAAGACAAGGGGACACCAGGCCCAAGAAGGCAGTGCAGAGCACTGACCCTAGAGCCCGGCTCAGGACTTGGTGGTTATTCGTGATGCTGTTACCTTTATTATTATGGTGTTTTCTGGACTGATCAGGGCTGCCCACCTTCCTCCCCAGGCAAGGAATCAGATCCCAGGGGGCCTGAGGCTGCAGGGAATCCATCCCACTCCCCTCTCTCTCCCACCTCCTCTTCCCCTCCACAGGTGGTCCCAACACCCTCAAGTGGGGCTACAAGAAACAACAAGGGACCTCCTACCGGAGAGAGTTCCAGGCCCTGCCGGGCTCACCTGCCTTAATGTGTAGGAGGGTAAATCAAGGCTGGGCCGGGGTTGCTGGGGAGGGCAGCCATGGGGGCTGGGTAGTCTTGGCCTTCCATCCCTCTCTGTCCACAGGCCTCCTCCTCTGTGCAACTGGGAGACTGCAAGCTGGGCTATGGGCTCATGTTTTCAGACCTGAAACAGACCCATAGGCCCCAGGGGCTGCCCCCAGACAGGTACCAAAGGACCACTGCCTTCCCCTGCTCCAATATGGACCGTGGCTCTCAACAGCATGTGGGTGTGCCACTTAGGTTCCTAAAGCAGTTGCTGTCAAGGTCTCCATCCTGGTCTGGAAGGTGCCACTGTTGGGCCAGCTCACCCACTATTAGGGTGCTCTGGCTTGACCAGTGGGCCGTTGCCCTCCTCCCCTTTCCTGGGAGTTGCAGGGGAAAACACATGGATCCCTCCTTCCTTACCCGCAGGTATGACAAGGCTCAGGCCGCCACTCACATCCACCATGTGAATATTCGTCCTGGAGACGGCCTCTTCCACGACAGGACCACCATGACCGACCACTTCTACGCCCGGGAGCCAAGTGAGAACTACTCCCTGCCCTGCCCCGGCTCCCTCGGCAGCTTTCCCCGGCTGCTCAGCACCTACTCTACCACTGACAGAGCCTTTTGTTCTTCATGGGGATCAGACTCCGAAGTCCCACATCCTGAAAGGAAATTGGCACCCGGGCCCCGGCAGCCTCAGCACCTCCATGCAGTTCTTCCACGGCCAGGTCAGTGGGTAGGGAGAGGTGCCAGGGCTCATAGGGAAAAAGACTTAAAAGGCAGAGCAAATAGCAAGTGCAGAGGCCCTGCGATGGGTGTGAGCTGGACACATGCCAAGATCTCTTGGGGTCTCTTTGTACCATCGAGGGCAAGTCACTTCACACCTCCCAGCCTCACTGGCTCTGTCCAGAGGGGGAGGGAGCCTCCAGGGCCACCAATGGGAGGACTTGGGAGCTTCCTGGGTACCTGTGGGTCCCACAGGTACCACCAAGCACCCAACCACCTGGCCGCCACATGACCCATGAGAATTTGAAGTGCCACGTGATCCTAGGAGAGGAGAAGCTGCTGGGACACTTTTTCCAGACCACCACGGGCTCCCATTACTGCCCCCAGCATGTGGAGGGGTCACAGAAGATACCCAGCCTCCAAATGACACAAAGCAACCTACCCAAGGGCACCTGTGGTGAGGGGAGTGGTCCTTCCCCCTCTAGAAAGCCCCTCCCGGTCACAGCTCTGCCCTGGTTGATGGCTGTGGCTCTGCCACCTAAGGCTTAATATCCTACCCAGAATTGACTAGGCCCCCAACCCACCCCTGGGCTGCCCCACCCCTGGTAGCCTTGGCCCTCCCTCCCCCTGTCCCCCATGGCACAACCACCTACTTCCTGTCCCTTTTCTTATCTTCCCTCACTTCCCACAAACCCCTCCTCCTGTTGGACTCTAGCTCCTCAGGAGCCTACCCTACCTGGTCATGTCCCTAGTTCATCTGGACGGGCCCTGCCCCACCCCCAGGCCAACCTTAGAGCTTGGCCTCTGAGCCCTTCCCCGCACCTCAGTCTGTCACATCACCGAGGCCTTGTCCTCTGCCCTTTCCGTGGCCTCCCCCTTCCACATCTCCAGAGTTCGATTTTCTAACCATGAACCAGAAGATGCTGAAGCCGCACGGAAGAGCTAAAGCCCTGGTGACCAAAGAGTTGTTACAGAAGGTGAGACAGGGGAGGGGTCCAAATCATTGTGGACTCAGAGTTTGTGTCAAGTCCACTAGGGTCACAGCCTGGTCAAGGTCACCCCTAGCTCACCGCCAGGGTCAGGTCAGCATCAATTCAGGGGTATCTTCATTTCACCAGCCAGAGTTAAATCTCAAGCTGAGGGGATTAACTTAGAGTCACCTAGGATCACCCCAGCCCTGGGGTCATTCTAGGGGCACCCCTGGTTTCTCTCCAATACCTGGGTCAATCAAGACTGGGGCCCCTTTTGCCCACCTCCCCAGAAACCAGTCACCAGCCAAACCTGGCTGAGCCTGTTCCCACTCTTTGATGACCCCAGGGTGGTCCAGGGCCCACAGGGTGGCCAGAATAGGTCAATTCAACAGGCTGCCCTCCCAAACCATCACCCTGACTTCACAGTGCAAATACAGCCACCTGGAGCCCCCGCTGGGTGGACAGCGCTTCCTCTCAACCAACTACCAGGTTGACTTTCCTTTCAAGTACCAAGGCCCAGTAGTACTGAAGACGATGAATTTCCAGGAAAGCCACGTGCCCCTGGGCACACCTCGCCAGCTGGGCTGCAGGCGCAGGAAGGTAGATCCTCAGACCCCACAGATGCCTATGTACCCATGCCTCAGCCAGTAGTAAATGTCACCTTGATGGCATCCTGTCCCATTCCATTAGTCGTCTGTTAAAGAGGATGCTTGGATGAGTGGGGGCCAGAGGAAGGAATCACACTGGAGAGAATGTCTCATTCGTTCCATGGAGAAAACCCTGGATGCCTGACCAGACACATCGGCAAACCTTGGGGTTACTCTGAATGATGTGAGAGTATAGAGTCACAGTGTGTGACACAGGCATTGGGGTGGGGGTTCAGGATGCAGGCTCCTGGGCCCCGCTGGACACGATCCACATCCTGACTCCTCCAGGTCCTGACTTCTCCAAACTTTACTGGAAGACTGGGGTTAACCTTGCTGGACCCCATTTTCCTAGCAACTGATCTGCACCTACCCCGAGCGTCTAGCTTTCCCCAGGACATAATTCTGCAAACCGTCTCTTCCTAATGAGAGTCATTGTTACCTTAACCCCTGTGAGCTTGATCTGTAAAATGGAGCAAAAGAGCAAATCTCTCATGAGATCCTTACAACCGACGGGAAGCTGAGCAGTGCACTGGTTGGCCACATGACCAGCCCTCAGATCAGAGCAGCACCCAGGGAAAACCGAAAAAAGCCACAAGGACACAGTGAGGTCCCAGGAGGTAGGTGTGCAGCCAATCGAAAGTCAGAAGGAAAAAGGTGGAGTCAGGCCCTAAAGCCCCCGAGTGACCAGTACCTTGGACAGCGACCGACCTTTAAGGTCTGGGGTCTGGTGAAGAAGTTACATCTACCTGGAATAGCATGGGCCTTGGTGGCCAAGCTGTAGGCTGTTATAACCCTGTTTCAAAGAATGAACCTGGGGCCAGACCTCCAAAGACCAAGGCGCCCCGTCCAACAGCCACAAGGAGCCAACCCTGAGCCTGGTCAGGTGCCCTTTCTCCCTCGGCATCAGCTCTTCGAGGCCAGGCTCTTATTTGCACAGCAAGGGCAGGAGTCCAGCTTGGGACCCCACAGGAACAGGATGGCCCTTTTGGCTGCACTCATAGATAGTCCCACACTGACCCCAAGAGGGTCTGCTGGCCACAGGACCCTTCTGTGCTTGCCTGCACCGAAGACATTTTGCAAGACGCTGCTCCGAGTTGTGTTGTGATAAATCTGGGTTCTCACTCTCGGCCCCGCTGGCATCTTGGGTCAGATAATTCTTTGTTGGAGGCTGTCCCTGTGTATCACAGGGTGTCCTTGATCCATTAGTTGTTAATAGCGTACCCCACCACAACAGGTATTGCCAAATGTCCCCCACGGTGAGGTGTGGTGGAAATTGCCCTGGTTGGGAACCACGGCAACAGAACATCCTGTTCTGGTGAAGCTAGTCTGCCTTTTGACCAGATAACTAGAACTTTCCTTTCTGCTTTAGCTGCTAGGAAGCTCAGGTCTCTGTAGCTCCAGTTACAGGGCTGCTTGTGCTCCTGTCTAGTTCCAGGGATGGTTTCCCGCAGCCCAGAGGCCAGGTGAAAAACAATGGGTGGGATTTCAGCACAACTGGAAGCATTTCCTAGTCATGGAACTGAGCAGCCCGGGGTGGCTGGCCAAGGGAGAACAGGCACACTACTGGAAATGTTCAGTGAGCAGGGGAAAACACTACAGGATGATTCTGGGTGTATTTTTGAATTTACACCCATTCCTCTATTACATTTAGCACCCCCCCACACACACACACACCAAGGCTTCTGACCAGGATGAATAAAAGAAGATTGAAAGTGGGAAAACCAATTACTTTTTAAAGGAAAACAATTTCATCAACTGTAAGCAGCACCTGGCAACAGGACTCAGACCTGTCATTTTCCTGTCTTGGACAGGTGGTTTCAAGCTCTGAAATTCCTCATTTCCTCAGCTGTGAAATGGGGACACAATAGTTCCTCCTTGGTAGACAGAGGGATTACAAGGATTAAATAAAATGTGGCTGTGCTTGGCACAGGGCCTGAATTATCTGACCTACAGCTCAAAGAATGGCGCCTAAAAATTGTCTTAAGTAATTTTTTTTTTGTAAGGGACAGAAACCAAGCTCTAGCCAGTCCAAGCAAAAAAGAATTTTATTGACTTAGAAACAAGAATGTCTGGAATTGGGAGCTGGGAGTGCCTTGGTGCTAGAGCGCCGGCTTAGCATGCAGCATGCGGATGCCCAGGGTTGCATTCCCAGCAGAAACGGGGCGGGGGGGGGGGGGAGGGACAGGAGGAAAGAAGGAGGGAGGAAATAGAGAGGAAGGACAGAGGGAGGGAGAGAGATAAAGAGGGAAGGAAGAAGGAAAGAGGGAGGGAGGAAAGGAAGAAACCAAAACAAGGTCTGGAATTGGGTCTCACATGGGGTATGCTGGTTCCTCATCTGGACTGTCTTCCTCACCATCTCTCAATCCTATTTCCCTCCAAATGATGGAAAGGAGGATGAAGATAGCTCCAAAGGAAGGAGCTATCTCCCCTTCTCCCAGTAGAATTTAAGAAACACGATGATTGGTCCATTTGAGTCACGTGCTCAGCCATGAATCAATCACTACGCTCAGAGGAATGGTGTACTATGATTGGTTGGCCCAGTTGAGTAGGCCACTCTGAAACTTTTGGTTCCCCAAACTTTACCGGGAGACTGAGGTTAACCTTGCTGGACCCCATTTCCTAGCAACTGATCTGCGCCTGCCCAGCACATCTAGCATGCCCCAGGGCATAATTCTGCAAACCGTCTTTCTAGTGAGAGTCATTGTTACCTGGAGAGAGAGTGGAAGGTGTTTGGGAGTGACCTAGAGACAACCAGTGTCCCCCAGCTATTTATGGTCCCAGTTTTACCTCCCACAGCATTACCTGTCCACTCTTTCAACTTGGAGCAGAGAACTTAGTTTTAATAATCAAAATGGAGCAGATATCAGCTTTTGCTTCATAAGAAGCAGAAAAAAAAGCTTGTGTCTTCCAAGACCTTGCTGAAGGCTGCATGAAAGCTCCCACAGATCCCAACATCCTGATATTTTTGTTAAAAGTCCCTCAATCCACAGTCTCAGGAGACATGTGATCGGAGTTTCAAGATAAAATAGGCTACAATTTAATTAGCTGTTTTTCTTCCACATAACAGATTTCTGAGGAGTGTTCTTCTACGAGGCTGTCATATACATCCAGACAGTCTGTGTACTGCACAAACCTAGGGAGCCCTGTTCACTTTATAATCCATGCAGGTGGTGACCCGACTTTGCTTAGCCATTTCCACATTTTAAGTTATTTTTCTCAATGAATGAAAGGGACAGAAATCCTAAAACTAGTTCAGAACCCTGGAAATTTGTTGAGACTAGAAAGAAGGCTTCGGGCTTCAGGCACAAATCTAGCCAGAGCGCTCTCCTTGTCTAACCTCTACATTCTGGTGTATATTGGCCTCATTTTCCAGGCTGTTCTGAACAACAAAGGATGTGACTGCAGACATGATGAGTCCCTATAGCTCATGATCCCCGATGAAGGGCAAAACCCACCAACTTCACATCGTCATCCCAGACCTAGTTCTTGTGGCCATGTTCTTTGTTAGTACATGGAGATTCATATCAAACTGGGGAGCTTTAGACACAGATCCAACCACAAAAGCAAGGTGCTCAGATGAGCTGAGCAGAGAGAAACAACAGATGTCCTTGCGCATGCTGTTGCTAATGAGATTATCCAGGGGTGACAGGATGAGGCACCAGAGACCCCATCCGACTGAAGTCATCTCAGATCATTCAGATCCACTGTGAACTGGCAGGAAGGTCTCAGACCATAGTCCAGCACAGACTCACAAGGTTCAGGAAGGGACACACGCCTGGACATCTGGTTGCTCGGGGCTGTTGGTATTTGCGGGTAGGTGGTGTTCAACACACCAAAGATTCTCAGGAACCCACCTGTAGTCCAAAAAAAAAAATGATTTAGCTTCTTTAGTAAGGAGACAACCACCACGGGGGACCTTAGGGTCCCTCTAGAAGAGGGAATTGGGATTTGGGGAGGATTTGGGCTTATGCTGGGTGGTTTTAAGGAAAGCTGAAGCGACTTCAGAATGTGCTGTGAGGAAGCAGAGAACAAATTCGTGGCAGAAGATTCAGTGATTTTTAGATCCGAGGTGGGAGGATTGAAAGAGTCGCTGCTGCCATTGGCAAGAAGCAGTAGCATTTGCATTAGTGGGGAGAGGAGGGTGGGCACTCATTTTTTTGTAGTTGCAGTGTGTTCTCGTCTCTATCTTGGTTTAGATATGATCACAGAGTGGCCTTGTCTGATCATTGCTTATATTCTGTGGCCGTTGTTTATGTTTAATAAAGAACATCATGGCCCGGCTGCCAGCTGCCAGGGGCTGTTTTTTCTCACCCCCTCCCCAGCAGGGAACTGTGTTGCCAGGTAGTGTGTCCAGAGCCCTCCCCAGTCCTGGCTAAGGTTTCCCAGAAATCAGCAGCCAAGACAGGCACTTGGAGTCCCCCAGGGACAGCAGCAACTCGTCATCTGGGTAGGAGGCTGAAGACACTAAGGGAAAGAGAATATCTCAGACTCTGCTCCCCTGGGGGTGTAAAAGGGTGTACCCAGAAAGAGTGAGGGGTTCCACTATAAAGAAAAAAAATTGAGAAATTCTGGATTAAGTAAAGATAGACATGTTTTTAAAACCGTGGGGCTTCTCAGAGGCCTCACCATGCTCCTGTGCAAGGCGAGTCTGCCCCAGCCATGTCACAGTTGCTGTCTTTTGAACAAAGGTAGTCAGAGACATTGACAGGAAGCCAAGACAGACACTGGCAGAAAGAGAAACAGAGACAGACACAAAGAGGGGGCAGAGGCAGAGAAAGTGAAGGAACGGGGCAAAGCGACGAACAGAGGACAGGGATAAAGAGATGAGGACCGAGAAAGGGACGGAGAGCTAGGGACTGGGAGAGGCAGGTCCAGAGAGAGAGACAGAGAGGGCCGGGGCCAGAGAAGGACCGAGAGGGCCCGAGGACAGCCGCAGGGACGCAGCCAGAGCGGCGCGGGCGGGCGCGGCGCAGACAAAGGCGCGGTCGCGCGGCCGGGGCGGCCGGGCCGGGACAAAGGCTGGCCCGGGGGGCGGGGGCAGCGATGGCGACGGCCGTGGCGGGCGCGGGCGAACTACAAGTCCCAGCAGCTCCCGCTGCGGCCCTCGGCCGGCCCCTCTCGCTCCCCGGGAGCGCCTGGCGGGGCCGCTGGGCCGAGGGGGCCGCCGGCGGGGCTGGCGGGCGGGGGGCTTCCTGCAGGCCTGGGGGGCGCCGGCGGCCGGCGCGGGCGCGGAGGGCCGGGCAGGGGCGAGGGGCGCCGGGTGAGTGTCCTCGCGAGCGGGCCGGGCCGGGAGGGGACCAGGCGGGGGGCGGGCTGGGGGCCCCGCGTGGGGCGCGGCCGGGGACGACCTCTGATCGCCCCCCGCCCGCAAGACGCCCGCTCCTGCTGGGACGAGGGGCTCGGGGCGCGGCGGGAGGGGGTCCCAGCGGCCGCCGGCCTAGCGCGCTCATCCCGCCGCGGCGGGGGAGGGCCCGGAGCCCCAGCCTCCGAGCCGGAGGGGCGGGGGCGCCCGCTATTCTGGGGTGCGGAGCTCAGGACGCTCCCTCCTGGAAACCACGCGGGGGGCCCTGGGCATTGGTTTCGCACGTCCAGCTTGGGTGCGGGGATTCAGGAGGCCCTTTCCTCAGGAGAGGGACCCAGGGGTTCCTTCTGCCCCCAGGACCCCAGGAAAGGGTCCAGCTATTGTCTGCCTCCCCTTCTCGTCTTGGGGTCTAGAGTTCGGAAGCTCCTTCTCAAAAGGCTGTTCAGGGGCCCAACTGTCTCCAGGAGCTCTGTGCTTTCTCCTCCCGTCTTCCAGCTGAGTTGGGAATTGAGGAGGCCTTTCCTCTGGAAGCAGTCTAAGGGTTCCTCTGCCTCCTAGGAATCCAGGAGGGGACCCAAGTAGTTCCCCCACCCTCCAACTATGGGGTCTGGGTTGAGGGGGCATTCAGAAGCTCAGCACTCTTTGTTTGCTTACCCCCTTGCAGCTATGGGGTTGTGGCTCAGTATGTCCCCTTTCCCAGAAGGGGAACCGGAGATTCCCCCACTCCCAGGAACTCAGCCCTAAGGTAACTCAAGACATCACCCCAACTGGTAATCCAGCTGAAGTGGCTCCAACTATTCTTCCTCCACCTCCCCACCTCCCCCCACCCCCAGCCATGAGGCTGGATTCAGCTCAGGATTTTTTCTCCTGGGGGGAACAAACACAAGTGTAGAGACATAATCCCCACACCCAAGCTGTGGGTTCATTGCTCAGAATCTCCCCTCCCTGGGGGTTCCCCCAGTAACCCAGAGGATCCCCAGGTATTATTTTCACCTACTCTGCAGCTAGGGGTTAGAATTCACAGTCTTCTAGTCAACTGGGAAAACAGACATATTGGTAACTGACCCCTGCTGTCCCCTAAGGGATCTCTAAATCTCCCTGCTTCTACTTCCCCATCAGGAGGGGTCTCAAATATGGTCTCCCTCCCCTCCCCACCAGCTTAGGGAACAGGCATTAGGATCATCTCTCTAGGAGAGAATGTACTCCCTAAGCTGTGAGGTATGGAATTCAGATTGCCTCCTTCTCCTGTCTTCTCCCCCAGTGACCTAAGTGGGGTACCAGATGTCATCCCCCCCCCCACAGTGCCTAGGTTATTCTCCAACCACAGTTTGTAGAGCTCAGCATACCACCTAAGAGTTGAGTCAGGGGCCCTTCTTTCTACAATCTGTCACCTCCAATTTGGGTGAGAGGAGGGCAGGAATTTGGGCCATGTGCTCAGGACACTGGAACTCTGACACCACCCTTTTCCCAGGAGGGGGGGGCAATTAAAGGGGTTGGAACCTAGGACTCCCTCTTTCACAGGATCCCCACAAGAGTTCAGGATGGACAGAGGGGCAGAGCCATGGGATTGGGCACTGGAGACCTAGTTTGGGGTCCCATGACTTTCATCCAGGTTCAGGGCTGAGAAGGGAGGGTCCCACCATGTCCCACCCAGGGTCCTTCTATACCACATCCTGACTGGGCAAGTGAGAAGTCTTTCTGCAGAGTCGGGGAAAGATCCATGAGTGTGTTTAGGAGTAAGTTATGGGGGAATGGCTGAATCCCTTCTCCCATCCCTGCCCAGACTCCAAAGAGATTCCCTGTTTCCCAGAACCTATTTCCACCTACTCTGTGTCCTCGCTCTGCAGATCCTGTCCCTGAAGCAGTCAGCAGTTTCACACCTGGGATGCGTCGCTCAGTCCTAGTCAGGAACCCAGGCCACAAGAGCCTGAGGCCTGTTTATGAAGAGCTTGACTCTGACAAAGAGGACCTGGACCCAGTTTCTGAAGACCCAGAGCCTGATCCAGAAGACCTCAACACTGTCTCAGAAGATGTGGACCCCAACTATGAAGATCTGGACCCTGTCCCAGAGGATCTGGGTCCCGATGTGCAAGCTCCAGGCTCCATCTTGGGGAACCAAGATTCCGATCCCCAAGATTTGGACCCCATGTCTTCAAATTTCGACCTCGATCCAGATGTTATTGGCCCTGTACCCTTGGTTCTCGACCCTGACAGCGACACCCTAAGCCCCACCGCACCAGACGTGGACCCCCTTTCCTCCAGCCTCACTGCCACCCCCCAAGTCCTGGCCACCAGCCCCGAGGTGCTCCCTCCCCCAGCCAGCCCGCCCCGGCCCTTCTCCTGCCCCGATTGCGGGCGAGCCTTCCGCCGAAGCTCCGGGCTGAGCCAGCACCGTCGCACCCACAGCGGCGAGAAGCCCTACCGCTGCCCCGACTGCGGCAAGTCCTTCAGCCACGGCGCCACCCTGGCTCAGCATCGTGGCATCCACACCGGGGCGCGGCCCTACCAGTGCGCTGCCTGCGGCAAAGCCTTCGGCTGGCGCTCCACGCTGCTGAAGCACCGCAGCAGCCACAGTGGTGAGAAGCCGCACCACTGCCCCGTTTGTGGCAAAGCCTTTGGCCACGGCTCGCTGCTGGCGCAGCACCTGCGCACACACGGTGGCCCGCGGCCGCACAAGTGCCCAGTTTGCGCCAAAGGCTTCGGGCAGGGCTCCGCGCTGCTGAAGCACCTGCGCACGCACACCGGCGAGCGACCCTACCCCTGCCCGCAGTGCGGCAAGGCCTTCGGGCAGAGCTCAGCGCTGCTGCAGCACCAGCGCACACACACCGCTGAGCGCCCCTACCGCTGTCCCCACTGTGGCAAGGCCTTTGGGCAGAGCTCCAACTTGCAGCACCACCTGCGCATCCACACCGGCGAGCGTCCCTACGCCTGCCCGCACTGCTCCAAGGCCTTTGGGCAGAGCTCGGCGCTGCTGCAGCACCTCCACGTGCATTCTGGCGAGCGCCCCTACCGCTGCCAGCTCTGTGGCAAGGCTTTTGGCCAAGCCTCGAGCCTCACCAAGCACAAGCGGGTGCACGAGGGCGCCGCAGCTGCTGCCGCCGCCGCCGCCGCAGCAGCGGCCGCCGCCGCTGGCCTGAGCCTGGGGCCTGGCTTGAGCCCTGCGTCCGTGATGAGGCCTGGGCAAGTCTCCTTCCTGGGTCCTGATGCTGTGTCTGTGCTGGGTTCTGGCCTGGGTCTCAGTCCTGGCCCCAGCTCTGGCCGCAGCCCTGACCCTGGCTCTGCTCTGGGCTCCCTTTCCAATCCCAGCCCTCAACCTCTCTCTGGCTCCACATCCACCCCCAGCCCTGAGCCTGTTGAATGTTCTGACCCTAAGCCTAGTGATGATGATGACCCTGACCTTGTGCCCAGCCCTGACCCCAACCCTGACTCCCACCCTGATCCCTGCTCTCCTATCCGTGACACTGTCAGCCCAGCCCTCCCTACTGGTGAGAGTCCAGAGTGGGTAAAGGAGCAAGGGGCACTACTGGGGCCTGATGGCTGAAGGGGACACCAGCACCACAGGCCTGGGGAAGTTGTGTGTTGTGCAGTTAGTAAAATCCTCCCACTGCCTCCCGGCTCTGCGTTGTGGCTTGCCTTCTGCGCTTCCTCCCCTGATGCACAGCCTGGCCCCTTCCCACTAGCTGAGGGAACAGGCATTAGGATCATCTCTCTAGGAGATGCTTCTGGTTGCTGGGTGAACAGAGATGGGAGGGTGTGGCCAAGGCCAACCATACACCTGGAGCCACACCCCACAAGATTCCTAGCTTCCCCTGACTATAAGGTCTCACATTTGTCCATCCCACTAGTCACCACTCTGCCTCTCCAGGCCTGGGTTAGGGGGTCCTAGTCAGGGGAGACTTGCCCTGCAGGTGGCCTGACAGAGTCGCCTCCCTTTAGCTTTTTCACAATGCTGGAATCTCTGGCATGTTGCTGGTCCAGGTCTAGTGGGCTGTAACAGAGGTTGACAATGGACCATGGCAGCAGCCATCCCCATTTGCTCCCTAAGCCTACCCCTTGCCCTCAGAAGCCCACTAGGCAAATGGAGGCTGCACGTTTACGTGTTCAACAAACATCTGCTGATTGTTAGTGTCTCCACAAGGGAGCAAGATAAGTATGGCCCTCACCCTGACAAAACACATCATCAAATTGAAACTATTTCAGAAGTAATCAGAGGATGGCACATTCTAAAAGAAGCAGAACAAGACTTCCGATTTAGGTGGCGTGAACACTGTCCGGAGGAAGGGTTTTACAGGTCTAGTACCACTAAATGAATAATCAGCACTGCTGCCCAGATTTGTCAGCGATCTTGCACTTGCTCATTTATTTCTTTCAACAGCCCCGAGAGTCCAGTTACTCCGAGTATTTGCCATTTTGCAAATGAGGAAACAGGCACGCAGTGTTTAAGAGACAGTGGAAAATATACAAGTGGCAGGTAGATGGCAATGCCTAGATTTAAACCTGAATTGTCTACCCTGCAGAGCCTGGTGTTCTTAACTATTATGCTCCAGGGCAAAAGCGTGTAAAGGCCCTGGAATCATCAAGAGATGAACTAGAGGCAGAGGTGGGAGCTAGACCGGAGAGTACTGGCAGGCGGTGGTGGAGAGTTGTTTCCCAGCAATGGGAAGCCGCCAGCAGGTTCTCTGGCAGAGGACTGATATGAATAATTCTTTGAAGGTGCCTCTGGTTACTGGGTGAACACTGGAGTCAGCGGGTAGCAGGAGGAAGTGCGCCAGGCTGGAGGAGGTTGCTTCAGAGGTCCAGGCCAGGACTGCTGGGGGACTCTGGACTGTGGACAAAGGGTGGGTGGGGCGATAAGTGGTCCTATTTGGTTTAGAAAATTGGTTTGCTGATGGGCCGGGAGGAAGGAGAACAATCCTTAGGTGGGTCGCAGAGTCATCGCCAGACCCCGCGGAGGGTAAGGGGTCAAACTCTGAACATGGAATTCACGAAGTTGGCACCACACGCGGGGCCTGACAGGGAGCCAGGGGTGGGGCCAGTCACTGCCGCGCTCAGAGCCAGTCCATTTATCTCCTCTCCGGCAGCGGGATGTGACGCTAGGACCTCACGACCGCCATCGGCTCGCGAGTCGCAGGCTAAGGCACGCATGCGTGCATCTCCGGGAGGGGTCGTCGTGGCGCAGTGGGCGGGACTGGATCAGTCACGTGGACACCCGGGCGCCCTCGTCACGTGACCGCGGCGCGGGTCAGCTGATGCGGGAGGGTTTGAAGCCGCGCGGCGAGGGAGCGAGGCCGCAGTGACAGCGGCGGGCGCTCGGACCCCAGCTGCCCAGCCGCGCGCCCCGCGCCCCGGCATGGCAGCCCCGGTGGGCCGGCGCGGCTCAGGTGAGGGCGGACGGCGCGCGGGGCAGCTTCTCCGACCTCGGGCGGCGGAGCTGCCGGAGTCCCTTCCCCAACTCCAGTGCGGGTTTCTCAGCTGCTCCACGGTAGAGACGTGGGCAGATTGCTCCTAGAACTTGGGCGGCGGGTGGGCAGGCACCAAGCTTCCCCCCTTCCCAAAACCAAGCTCTGCTCCGGGGTCCTGAGCTCAGGCAGCCAGCGGGCCGCCGGTTTCTCCGACTTGGGTGGCGAGATGTCCAGGATTTCCATTCCGAGCCCAAGTTCTGATTGCACAACTTTGCTGGAACTGGGACAGCTGGCAGCAGCTTCTCTGACCCGCACGCGAGACCCCAGGCTTCCCTGCCTGAATGCAGGAAGCAAATGCGCAGTTTCCCTGAACTCAGACTGTGGCTGCCCAACTTCCAGCCTCTTCAGAGGTCCTCTCCCATCCGGAATGTGGAGGAAGAGTGTTGTCCTCCCCTTGAGCTGGCTGGAAACACCTGATCGGCGTCAGGACTGGTAGGCTGGCCGTAGGCTAGCTGTTACCTAGCCAAGGCAGGAGCCGCCTTCTGGCTTCCCTTCCTCCTGGCTTGTAAACAACAAGCGCATCCAAGCTCCAAAGGGAGAGGTCAGAAGCTGGGACCTCCCTACACCACAGTTCTGACTGCACCCACGCTTATCCTGATGGCTTTTGTGCTGGGTTGTGGCTCAGTGGTGGACCACTTGCCTAGCATGTTCAAGGTCCTGAATCCCATCCCCAGTATTGAAAAGAAAAAAAAAATCTATTCTGACAGCTTGCCAGCCAAGGTTCCAAGTCCTAGAAAGAAAAAGCAAGGAGATGATGGGGATGTTAGGGACAGTTCTGGGACATGGTCACCATGTCAGTGTCACTGTGTGACCCCAGCCTTTGCTGAAACTTTGGGTCTTCCTGTTAGTTTCAAAAGAAGAACTGTGCTCAGCACCGCTTGCTCACTGAGGAATGATGGAGGTCCTTACCTGCGTGGCCTCGCTAATTCAGCGCAGCTTCAGGATCTGTGATGAATGTTTTTGACTTCCACTTTTCAGATGAGGAGCTTAGGGAGATGTCCTGTAAGTTCCAGGACCAGTGCCCTTGGTGAGGATGGAGTGAGTGGTCTGCAAATGTGTTCTAGGGTTATTACTGTTACTGCAGAGCACCCCTTCCACAGGCCTATGGCTTGTGACAGTGTCATCAGGACAGCCCAGGTTGTGATGAGTTCAAAGGTCATCTATTGGGTGTTTGTCCAGAGAAGCCTGGAATGTGAGGCTTGGAATTGGGACGAGCCCGTGGGCTTCATATACCCTCTGGGAACCCAGTGCACGCAGTTCCTTCTCTCCACAAATCCGCAACAGGAACATAGATGAAGTGCTCTGATACTCACCACATATCTGTCCTCGTGATAAACACTTTATAAGCATCAATCCTTAGCTTCCCTGTGATAGATGATTATTGCTCCGTTTTGCAGATGAGGAAGCTAAGGGTCAGCAAGGCTGAATGTCCTGTCTGAGCTGGTGAGCGGGGCCACAAATCAGCTCAGGCTTTTTTTTTTTTAGAGAGTGGGTCTCCCTAGGTGGCCTGGCCCTCTTTCCTCGACTCCTGAGTAGCTGAGTACCAGCTTGTGCAAGTGCACCTGGTCCTTTTGATTATCCAAAACACCAGCTCAACACCTCTGTAAAGGACCGCTGCATACAGCCATAAAATGATGCAGGTTTTCTTAGACCTCTTACAGTTGTTTCTTGCTTGGCAGAAGCATGGATTAGGGGCAAGAAGGCAGAGGGAGTAGCCCAGGCCTTGGGCTGAACCTGTAGCAAGTAGAGCTGCCCAGGCCTTACTGCTTTCTCCTGATTCCATAGAGACCGAGCGACTCTTGACCCCCAACCCTGGGTATGGGACCCACTCAGGGGCTTTGCCAGCCCCTCCAACCCCCTCAGAGGAGGAGGATCTCCGCCGCCGGCTCAAGTACTTTTTCATGAGTCCCTGTGACAAGTTCCGGGCCAAGGGACGCAAGCCTTGCAAGTTGATGCTACAGGTGGTCAAGATCCTGGTGGTCACTGTGCAGGTGAGACCAGCCAAGCAGGTGGCCCAATCAAAAGCTATTTAAAGCTGCTATTTCCCTGGAAGGAGAGGCTGGAAATGGGAGCCTCTTCCTGATCCCTCGCAGCAGCATAACCACATTGACAATGCAGTAGCCAGCCAGGAGCATTGGAGATTTGTGTGTGCAGCAGCTCCTTTTCAGCTCACAGAGGCCCAGTGCTGTAGTCTCATTGCATATGTGAGGCCAGAGAGGCTCGGAGAGGTTCAGGGACCTGTCCAAAGCCACATAGTGACTGAGCACTAGAAGATAGCATTTGAGCCCAGGCAGTCTGACACCATGTGGACTCTCAAAGAGAACCAATCCAGAGGCTGAACCAGGTGATCCTGCTTCCTCAAGCCAGGCCTGTGCTGGGCTTTGGGGACCCCACAATGAGTCACGCTCAGCCCCTGCCCTCAGCTCTTGCTTCTGATCCAAGGCTGTGGCTACTCTGGGTAAAGGGCCTAGTAGTGTGCTTACTGGGAGGTTTGGGTTTAGGCATCTGGTAAGCAGGTGATGAACGCTCACCGCTGCTGTGCGATGTACAAGTGCCCACTGTGTGCTGCACCCTGGGGACATGATGGTGGTTGTGGCATGGAGCTTAGGCCCTGAGTGGAGGATGAGGAGGGCAGCATTTTTCACTCCAAGCAGAGATGCCCACCCCCAGGATGCCTCTGGGGCCCACTCTTCCTCTTCCTCCTCCTGTGCCCCAAGGGAGGCCCTGTCCCAGCAGAGCCAACTTCCCCTGCCCCTCTTGCCAGCTCATCCTGTTCGGGCTCAGCAACCAGCTGGCGGTGACATTCCGGGAGGAGAACACCATCGCCTTCCGACACCTCTTCCTGCTGGGCTACTCGGATGGGGCGGATGACACCCTCGCAGCCTATACCAGGGAGCAGCTGTACCAGGCCATCTTCTACGCTGTGGACCAGGTGCGTGTGGACCGTCCGGGAGCGGGACATGCGACAGAGCCCTTGGGCTAACGAAGCCTCCCCTTCTCTGCCCACAGTACCTGATGCTGCCCGAGGTGTCGCTGGGGCGGTACGCCTATGTTCAGGGTGGGGGTGGCCCTTGGGCCAACGGCTCAGCGCTGGCGCTCTGTCAGCGGTACTACCACCGTGGCCACGTGGACCCAGCCAATGACACC